TGTTAATGAGTCTTCCTCCAATCTTCATATAACCCAGCTTCTCGGATTATTTGCTCAACATACAGGTTGAAGAAGTATGGTGAAAGAATGCAAACCTGTGGCACACCTTTCTTTATGTTAAACCATTCAGTGTTCCCATGTTCTATTAAAATAACTACCTCTTGATCCATGTATAGATTCCTCATGAGCACAATTAAGTGTTCAGGAATACTCATACTTTTCAGTGTTGTCCATAGCTTGTCATATCCACACAATCAAAAGCTTTTGCTTAGTCAATAAAACACACATAAACATCTTTCTGGTATTCTCTGCTTTCAGCCAAGATCCATTGGACATCAGCAGTGATATTCCTCATTCTGTGTCCTCTTCTGAATCCGGCTTGAACTTTTGCAAGTTCTCTGTCAATGTATGCTTGCAGCCATTTCTATATTACCTTTGATAAAACTTTACTTGCATGAGGTTTCAAAGATATTGTCTGATGATTTCCGCATTCTGTTGGGTCACCTCTTTTTGGAATGGGCACAAACATGGATGTCTTCCAATCAGTTGGCCAGTTAGTTGTCTTCCAGATTTCTTGGCATAGATGAGTGAGTGACTCCAGTTCCACCTCACTTACTTGAAAGATTTCAAGTTATGTTCCATCAATCAATTCCTGGTGCCTTGTTCTTTGCCAATTCCTTCAATGCACCTTGGACTTCTTTCTTTGGTATCATTGGCTCTTGATTATGTGCTTCCTCTTAAAATGGATAAACATCAACAATTTCCTTTGGTACAGTGTCTCTGTGTATCTTTCATCTTCTTTGATTCTTTCTGCATCATTTGATAATTTTCCCAGAGAATCCTTCACTAAGGAAAGCCAAGGCTTGAATTTTTTCTTCATTTCCCCCAGCTTGAGAAATGCTGAGCAGTCCTTCCAGATCTTCGCAAATATTTTGTTGTAATATTTAACTTTGTCTTCTCTAGCTGACCTTTGAAATTTTGTGTTCAGCTCTTATACCTCCTCATTTCTTCCATTTGCTTTAGCATCTTTATGCTGGAGAGCAAGTTTCAGTGTCTCATCTGACATCAGTTTTGATGTTTTCCTTCTTTCTTGTCTTCTTAATGACTTTTCCTTTCTTCATATATGATGTTCTTGATGTTACCCCCAAATTTCTGGCCTTCAGTCCTTAGTATTTAATGTATCAAGTCTTTTCTTCAGATGGTCTCTAAATTCAGGTAGGATATATTCAAGGTCATACTTGGACTCTCATGAACTTGTTTTCATTTTCTTCTGCTTAAGTTTGAATTTCCATATGAGCAATTCATGGTCTGTTTCACAATCTGATCCTGGCCTTGTTATGGCTGATAATATGGAATTTTTCCATCGTTTCCTTCCACATATGTAGTTAATTTGATTTCTGTGTATTCCATCTGGTGAGGTCCTGTGTATAATCGTCTCTTATGCTATCTAAAGAAGTATTTGAAATGATACAAATCTTTGATTTTGCAGTTCTATCATGTGATCTCCAGTATCATTTGTATCACCAAGGCCATATTTTCCAACTACTGACCTTTCCTCTTTGTTCCCAACCTTTGCATTCCAGTCACCACTAATTATCAACACATCTTGATTTCATGTCTGATCAATTTCAGATTGAAGAAGTTGGTAGAATTCTTCTATTTCATCCTCACTGGCTTTAGTGGTTGGTGCATAAATTTGAATAATAATGGTATTAACATTATGCATATAAAGTTTATTTCATCAATGATAAATTATATATTTTCATTAAACTACTTTATCTTTCTCTTACTTCTCATTTGTTTTAGAAAGAGAATGCAGTGTTCCTATGTTACCAAAAACCTTAGAAGCCTCACCTAAGAAAAACAAATATAAAGTTGGAGATGTACTGAAGTTTTCCTGTTCACAGAAATATCAAATAGTGGGACCAGATTCAATTCAATGCTACTACTTTGGATGGTCCCCTAAAATTCCAATATGTAAAGGTGACTATCTTACCATTGATGCAAAAAGCAGCCCTGGGGCACTACAGGATAAACACTGGATTGCTAATCACAAGGTCAAAGCTCAAACTCACCAGCTACTCCACAGGACAAAGATAGAGATTTCTATTCATTCCTGTAAATATTCATAGCCTCAGAAACCCTACATAGGGTCACTGAGTTGGAATTGCCCTATGGCAGTGTGTTTGGTTCTTTGTTAATTGATGCAACAAGAACTTTGTTTTTAGATATTTGTATATATTTTTTCTGTTTTTCATTTTCTGTGGTCTTTAAGATTATTTATAATCCAACACATTAAATGAAAGATGTTATGCCTGGGAAGGATATGGGTTGGGTGGTAGGCAGGTCATGGTAGGCAGGTCACAGAAATACCTTTCCCACTGGTCCCTAAAATGTATTGTGTAATTCAGAGATACATATATGGCATCCAAGATTAGAGACACTTCTTTTGTTTCTTTTCCTTTACTTATACTGCCACTACTAATGAAAAAGTTATACAGATGGACCGTAACTCAAGTTTCATTGTGTTTGTCTAAACTACAGCCAAACCACTTAAAGTCAACCCAATCACTTGTATGGTTTAGTCCATGCTAAAATATGTTAATCCACAGATTGTCCCAAGTGATAGGATTAGTATAAAAAAATCTTGAAACAATGTTTCCCTGGAGAATGAATACTACTTCAATTTATATAGCAATATTTGTTAATCTGTGCACATATTTAGTAGCCCTGGTAGCAAAGTGGGTTTTGAGTTGGGCTGTTTATTGCAAGGCTAGCAGTTCAAATCCAACAATTGCACTAAGGGAGAAAGATGAGCCTTTCTGCTCCTGCATAAATTTACCACTCCAGATAATCTATATAGGGTTACTTTGAGTCAGAACGAATTCAACGGCACACAGCCCCATCACCACCACTACACATCTCATAAAAATCCAAAATTATTGTACGTATTTGAAAGAGTTAAGTATGACAACCATCAATGAACTAATTCATTTTAAAAACAAAACAAACCAAAATCCATTGACACAGAGCAATACCGGCTCATAGCGATCCTATTCGGCAGAATAGAACCGCCCCATAGGGTTTCCAAGTAAGCAAATTGCCACGTTTTTCTAGTACATAATAGATATTGGGACACTGACCTCTCATTCAGTTAGCAACTGAGCCCTAACCCCAGGCTTTTAAATGCAGTCTAAATAGCAGAATTGGAAAATAGGAATATGGGGTAAGCACCATTCCTTTTTCATGGTTTAAGAATGCTGTAATAAAAGAAATAACAAATTGGAGATCTATATTTTGCTTATTTTGTTTTATTGTAATATGAACTACTTAACAATTGTTTAAATGATAGTATTTGTGTTTTAGAGCAGGTAAAATCATGTGGCCCACCTCCTCAACTGCTCAATGGGGAAGTTAAAGAGACAAAGAAAGAAGAATATAAGCATAAAGAAGTGGTGGAATGTGATTGCAATCCCAAATTCCTATTGAAGGGGTCTAAGAAAATCCAATGTGTTGATGGAGAATGGACAACTTTGCCTATATGTGTTGGTAATATACATAAAATCAGAAAAAATATATTCATATAAAAACAAGTTATGTTATAAAGATAAACTTATTCTTGTGAAATTTCACAGAGGAAGAGAGTACATGTGGCGATATCCCTGCACTTGAACACGGCTATAGTTTGCCCTCTGAACCTCCTTATCACCATGGAACTGTAGTGGAGTTCAGTTGTGAAGATTCATTTATGATGAATGGACACAAATTTATTAGATGTGTTCGTGGAGTGTGGACTGAACTTCCTCAGTGCATTGGTGAGAATATGCTTCTATAATTAACATTTAACAAGATTTCATATACTTACTGTAAAAATGTATTTAGAAATATTGTTGAAAACCTCAGGCTTTAAGTTATAATGAATCTAATAATTTATTCTCTATAACACAATATATGTTTACAGGGTAAAAATATAAACTAGTAGCAATATATTCTTGCATTCCTGATATTAATATAGTTTATTTCTATGAATGTGAAGCTGAATGTTACTTATAGATTGCCATATTATACAAAGTAAAACACAAAGTGTCAGGAAAACTAGAACTATTTTGCATAAATATCATTATTGTTATTCTACGACTTATTCTGTCAGTTCCAGGAAAATGAAGACATAAAGTTGAGAAAATGCCCATTTTGCTTCTCTCTTCTCTCTCAAAGCTAGCAATGTTCATTTCTCAGACTATTTCAAATACAGCAGGAAATAGTAAATGTGCTGCAAAGTAGGTGGCCATAGACTATCCCAATCAGAATATAAATAATTTAGTGTCCTCAGACAGTGGTGGCTGGATCAGGAAACAAATCTGATGGACTTCTACCTGTCCATGATTCATCCTGCTTCTTGATGGCTAGGTCTAACTGGCAGGAGGGGGTCCTGATTCACATGTCCTTTAAATGGGTGTTATGGAAACTCTATTTGATTCCTTCATTCAAAGATTTCTCGATATCCACTGTTATTTAATCTTTAGATTTCTATATATTAATTAATCCCAGGCAATGGTGAAGCTGAGACTCAAATTCCATCGAAGTAGGAATTTGTACCTGTTTTGTTAACCGCTGTATTCTCAACATCCAAAAGATTGAATGACATATAGTAACATTAAATTAAGAGTTTGTGAAATGAATCAGTAAACTGTTGCTGATTAATCCTCACATTTTTTAATTAACAAGTTCTTGATCATGGCATGGCCAATTCTTTCTGATACAACCTCACTTTTGTCCTCTCTAATCTCACCATTTTGGGAGAGAACAAGTGGGGGAAGGATCAGAACAGACACGAACCCCTGACAGAACTGAGGAGATAAAGGTGTGGACACTCATTTTTTTTTTTTTTTTTCGTATCTGTTCATTGTTCATTGGTCTCTCGCTGACTGCGCACCTCCATTCTAATAACTATAAGGGATACCTGAGCGAATGGATACCCCATCCCACCCCTGGAGGGTTCTATTACGCATGCACAGAGATCTTGAAATTTAAAGTGACATTTTCGACATAACCCCAAATGGCCACCAGTCATCTGTTAGTTGTACTGTGGTGGCTTGTGAGTTTCTATGATTCTGAGGGCTATGCCACCGGTATTTTAAATAACCAGCAGGGTCAACCATGGGAGACAAGCTTCAGATGAGCTTCCAGACAAAGACAGACTAAGAAGAAAGAGTGATGAACTTCTTCCAAATCTTTAGTCACTGAAAACCTTATAAATAGCAGAGAAACACTGTCAGATACCCTGCTAGAAAATGAGCTCAGGTTGGAAGGCACTCAAAATGCGACTGGGGAAGGGATGCCTCCTCAAAGTAGAGTTGACCATGATGGCGTGAATGGAGTTACGCTCGTAGGAGAAAAGCCCACAGAAACTTCATTTGCTGATGGGGCACAACTCAAAATGAAGAGAAACAGCTGTAAACATCCACTGAAAATCAGAACATGGAACGAAGCATGAAACTTGGAAAACTGGAATTTGCCAAAAATGAAATGGAACACATAAACATCGATGTCTTAGGCATTAGTGAGCTGAAATGGACTGGCATTGGCCATTTCGAATCTCACAACCACATGGTTTACTATGCCGGGAATGACAAATTGAAAAGGAATGGTGTTTCATTCATTGTCGAAAAGAAAATATCCAGATCAGTCACGAGGTACAATGCTGTATGTGATAGGGCAATATCCATGCACTTTCAAGGAAGCCCAGTTAATACCACTAGTATTCAAATTTTTGCACCAACCACTAAAGCCAGCAAGGGTGAAATAGAAGAATTCTACTAACTTCTTCAATTTGAAATTGATCAAACTTGTAATCACGATGTATTGCTCATTACTGGTGATTGGAATGCAAATGTTGGGAGCAAAGAGGAAAGACCAGTAGTTGGAAAATATGGCCTTGGTGATAGAAATGATGTTAGAGAAGGCATGACAGAATTCTGCAAAACCAATGATTTGTTCATTTCAGATACTTTCTTTAGACAGCATAACAGACAGCTATACACATGGACCTTGCCAGATGGAATACATAGAAACCAAATTGACTACATCTGTGGAAGGAGAAGATGGAAAAGCTCCATATCATCAGTCAAAAAAATGCCAGGGGCAGACTGTGGAACAGACCATCAATTACTCATATGTAAATTCAAACTGAAGCTGAAGAAAATGAAAACAAGCCCACGAGAGCCAAAATATGACCTTGAATATGTCCCACCTGAATTTAGAGATCATCTGAAGAACAGATTTGATACATTAAACACTAAAGACCGAAGACCAGAAGAGTTGTGGGATGACATCAAGAACATCATACGTGAAGAGAGCAAAAAGTCATTAAGAAGACAAGAAAGAAGGAAAAGGTCAAAGTGGATGTCAGAAGAGACTCTGAAACTTGCTCTCCAGCGTAGAGATGCTTAAGTAAATTGAAGAAATGAGGAGGTCCAAGAGCTGAACAGAAAATTTCATAGATCAGCTCTAGAAGATAAAGACAAATATAATAAAATGTGCAAATATCTGGAATAAGAAAACCAAAAAGGAAGAACACGCTTAGCATTTCTTAGCTGGGGAAACTAAAGAAAAAAATCAAGCCTCGACTTTCGTTATTGAAAGATTCTCTGGGCAAATTATTGAATGATGCAGAAAGCTTGAAGAGAAGATCAGAGGAATACAGAGTCACTGTACCAAGGGGTAATGGTTGATGTTTTGCTTCCAGAGGGAGCATATGATCAAGAGCCAATGATACTGAAGGAGGAAGTCCTAGGTACATTGAAGGAATTGGCAAAGAACAAGGCACTAGGAATTAATAGAATACAAATTGAAATCTTTCAAGAAAGTGAGGCAGCACTGGAGGCACTCACTCATTTGTGCCAAGAAATTTGGAAAACAACTATATGGCCTACTGATTGGAAGAGATCTCATTTGGAATTGTGCCCATTCCAAAGATAGGTGACCCAATGGAATACAGAAATCATTGGACAATCTCTTTGATGTCACAAGCGAGGAAAGTTTTGCTAAAGGTAATATGGAAATAGCTACAAACATACATTGACAGAGATTTTCCAGAGGTTCAAGCCGGATTCAGAAGCGGCCGTGGAACAAGGGATATCATTGCTCATGTCCGATGGATCTTGGCTGAAAGCAGAGAATATCAGAAAGATGTTTACCTGTGCTTTATTGATATGCAAAGGCTTTCGATTGTGTGGCTCAGGACAAGCTATGGACAACATTGCTAAGTATGAGTATTCAGGAACACTTAATTGTACTCATGAGGAATCTGTACCTGGACCAAGAAGCAGTTGTTCTAACAGAACATGGGAACACTGAATGTTTTAAAATTAAAAAAGGTGTGCGACAAGGTTGTATTATTTCACCATACTTACTCAACATGGATGCTGAGCAAATAATATGAGAAGCTGTGTTCTATGAAGAAAAACTTGTCATCAGGATTGGAGGAAGACTCACTAACAACCTACGATATACAGATGATGCAACCTTGCTTGCTGAAAGTGAAGAGGACATAAAAAATTAATGATGAAGATCAAAGAGCACAGCCTTCAGTATGGATTGTACCTCAATGTCAGGAAAACAAAAATCCTCTCCACTGGACCAATAAACAACATTCTTATCAACGGAGAAAAGATTGAAGTTGTTAAGGACTTCATTCTTCTTGGATCAATTATCACACTCATAGACGCAGCAGTCAAGAGATCAGATGACGTATTGCATTAGCCAAATCTGCTTCACAAAGATTTTTTAAAGTATTGAAGAGCAAAGATGTCAGCTTGAGGACTAAGGTGCGCCTGACCCAAGGCATGGTATTTTCAGTAACCTCATATACATGTGAAAGCTGGACAGGGAATAAGGAAGACCATCGAAGAATTGATGGCTTTGAGTTATGGTGTTGGAGGAGAATACTAAAAGTGCCATGGGCAGCCAAAAGAACTTACAGATCTGTTTTGGATGAAGTGCAGCCAGAGTGCTCCTTAAAGGCCAAAACGGCCAAACTTCATCTCTCATACTTTGGACATATTGTCTGGAGGGAACAGTCGCTGGAGAAGGATATCATGTTTGGTAAGATGGAGGGTCAGAGAAAAACAGAAAGACCCCCAAAGAGATGGACTGGCCAGGTGGCAGCATCGATGGACTCAAGTGTGGCAACAGTAGTGAGGTTGGCCCAGGTTCGAACATTTTTTCATTCTGCTGTGCAAAAGATCTCTATGAGTCAGTGCCGATTCGATGGCACCTTATAACAACAACAATCTCAATAAAGAGCTCTGGTAGCGTAGTGGTTATGAGTCGGACGGGCAACCTCAAGGTCAGCAGTTCAAAACTAACAGCAGTTCATCTGGAGAAAGATGAGGCGTTCCACTCCCGTAAAGATTTACAGCCTCGGAGACCCTGTGCAGGGTCGCTATAGGTCATTACCGACTCCACGGTATTTAACAACAGCAATCTCAATAAATAAATGATTTCACCTCTTTCTACATGGATGGAAACTCAAGATAGTATCAGGCATGAGAACTTACAGCTTTTAATTCTAACCAGTATCAAAACCCTAGCTTCAATTATTATGTCATTTTGAACGCAGAATTGCCTCTTAAATTTAATTCTCCACAGATATTTGGCTACTGTAGACCTTTAAAAAGTATAAAAACAAATGCGTTGCCTTTGAGTCAATTTTAAGTCACTTATGAGACAGAGCATAAGTGCCTCAGAGGGTGTCCAAGGCGGATTGCCATGTTTTTCTCCCAGGGATCAACTAGAAAGCTGGGTCAGTTGGTGG